TGTTAAATGTATCTATGTATTTTTTGGTATATATATGTCTAAATGCCTAACGTTATAGTAATAATGCTGATAATAATGCTAGTAACAATAGTAATAGTAATGAAAATGAAATAATAATAATAATAATAATAATAACAATAATAATAATAACAATAATAATAATGGTAATAGTAATGATAATTGTAATGCTAATGATAATGAAAATAAAAAAATAAGAATAATAATGATAACAATGATGATAATGATAATAATGATAATAATAATAATGATAATAATAATAACAATAATAATAATAATAATAATAATAATAATAATGATAATAATAATAATGATAATGATAATGATAATAATAATGATAATGATAATGATGATGATAATAATAATAATAATAATAATAATAATAATAATAATGATATGATAATGATAATGATAATAATGATAATGATAATAATAATAATGATAATAATGATAATGACAATTACAATTATGATAATGATAATAATGATAATGATAATAATAATAATGATAATAATGATAATGACAATTACAATTATGATAATGATAATGATAACATTTTCCTACTTGAGAAACATACTGCCTCTCTGAAGGCACCAAACCTGCTCCGTTGGTCTAAGATTAGATCCTCAGAAACTACGTTTCTGTTTACCCCAAATGTTTGCTTACTGAATGAAGTGCTGACGTGCGCAATGGAGGCTCGTTGTTTCATTAATATTGAAAACTGACTATAATAATTGCGAGTGAATAAATGACTAGATCAATGAAACCGATAATGATAACTGTCCTTGTAATATCCATAGTATTTTAGACGAAGGGGATGACTGGGTAAATCTTTGTTGTTGTGTGTGTCAATCGCTCTCTTATTCGTCATTTTCACCATGGGTTAGTCTTTGTCAAGTTGTGGGGGTTGCTTGCTAAGGGTTACAGATGAGTTGTCAGTGTTTTGTGTAGATGTAGATATAGGAGTAGGTATTATGAAGTGTTTGCTTAAATGCTTTAGTTTCAACTGTTCTTGTTTTGCCTGGTTCTGTATTTGTAAAGAAGTGTTAGTTTGGTATGTATGAAATTCATGTGTTTTGTGTGTGTGCTGTTTGTAAATATTCGCGTTTGCCAATGCTTATCACGATGTTTGCGATCTTGCACATGGCTGTGAGTTTGTACTTGTCCTCGTGCCTTGAGTAGTTCCAAATTAGGTTTTTAATGTCGTTAGTAATGACAGATGTACGTGTGCAAATGCGTGCCATAAATCTGGCGGCCCTAGGACTGAACTGCTTGAGGTTGTCCACGTTGCATTTGGTGAAGGAGTCCCATACAACAATATAGCATACTCTGGTGTTGGTCGTTTAGTGTATTGTTGGCTGTGTTAGAAGTCTGGCGTGTAGTTGTACCTCACAGTTCTCTTCAGTTTGTTTTTTTGAGGAGATATTTACATGACATTATGGATGCCAGTTGTTGGTTACAAAAAGAGTAGGATTATTTATTAGCATTCATAATCTAATGAATTGGGAAACCTTGCATTGATCAATTCCGAGTTACATCTACCACACATGTTTCCACTGTTCAGTGGCGTCTGTGTCTCGCCGAAGAAATCGTATCCTAAGTAATGGTAAATCGAAAGAAGAATCATAATCACGTCTAGCAGAAATGTAGAGCGTGAATAATAGGAGGTCATTAAGGTATAGGAGGAAGAGGTCATTAATGTATAATATAGGAAGACGTCATTAATGTGTAGGAGGAAGGGTTCATTAATGTGTAGGAGGAAGAGGTCATTAATGTATAGGAGGAAGAGGTCATTACTGTGTAGGAGGAAGGGGTAATTAATGTATAGGAGGAAGAGGAAAATAGGTCATTAATATATAGGAAAAAGAGGAAAATAGGTCATTAATGTATATGAGAAAGAGATCCTTAATGTATAGGAAAAGAGACATTATTAACGCGTAAGAGGAAGAGGTCACTGATTTATAGAAGAAAGATGAATAAGTCTAGAACGGTGAAGACACAGTGGCAAGATCAGATGAAACACCGTGAAATAGGATAGGTTCCTGCACGTTATAAAAAAACAGTGGTTGTGTAAAGATTAAGTCCTGTAATCCTGGAACAACAACAATGATAATGAAAATTATAAAATGATAACGACCAACAATGAAAGATACATTTGAATTTCACAATAATAATCTACCTTTCTCACAGCCATTACTCAAAATACTGCAGCCACACCTGGTACAACGACCGCATTTTTCTCTATATCTTTATGACGATTATTATCACTTCACTATTACGCCACTGATCAATGTCACTATTCATTATCACGGAATGTTAAGTCACTGATCATCATCACGTCACTATTACGTCACTGATCATCAAGTAACAAACGTCACTGATCATCATCACGTCGCTATTAAATCACTACTCATCACGTCGTTATTACGTCACTATCACGATGCTAATCACACCTGGCTAACGAGTCCCTTCTTCCCCACAG